GGCACATCGGAATTCGGGTACGGCGTAAGAGGTGGCCCTGTGCAATGCTGCAGTCAGCCAATCTTCCAACTGGCCCGTCGTGCCCTCAGTAGTTTCGCAGAGGACCCTTGCGTCGGGCTCTGGCTGCACTGAGCTGCGCTGCCGTGGCCCCGATCTGCGCATAAAATGGGGGGCTGTCCCTTGAGCGACGGTGCCGGAGATGTTCACCAGTGCATGTCGTATCGCTCCGCCACGTCCTGGTCAGGCTGTGCCCCCATGCGACGCTGTCGGACCAGGTGGAGACCAGGAGGATGTTCGCCTTACCATCAGCGTATCCTTGCTGAGGTCGCGTGACATCCAGAAGCATCGCCGCAGGTTCGCAGACCTGGTCGCACCACCCAACAATAGGGTAGAATGGCTGCAACTGAGTAGTACCCCAACGGTGAATAGATTCGCGCCCAAGCCGATGAAGGCCGTCTCAGTGGATGTGGACCTGGAGCTTCGAGCGTGGGTCCTCCTTCGAGGACCCAGGGCTGGGCATGTGAAGGTCGACCGAAGACAGGTTGGAAAGGTTGATATTGCGTAAGATGCAGAACACCGTCCACCTGTGGTCCTCCACAACATCCACCTGCAACGTCATCCGCGACTGGTGCTCGTGCAAGGTCGGCCGCCACTGCTGGAGCCTTACCAGTAGTGACGATGGGGACTGGAGGCGTCAAGTGCTGAACCTGTTGGATCACATCGCGCCACCTGGGGAGCAGGAGGGTATGGTCCCAAAAGTCGTCGACTTGGCTGGCGGTCTGACAGCCTGGCGGGACCCTGAGCGGGATGATCAGAGATAGCTCCTGCAGTGCATGTCTCCCACCTGTCGTGCTACGTCAAGCGAGTGCAACCTTCTGTACCTGGCTAGGGTTGGCCAGGGCCCACGTGAGCAGGTGCGGGGACGGCAACTGCTGGAAGACTTGCTCGGTGGCGTCATGGGTTCCGCAGAGATGAGCCTGGAACCGCCGAGTCTCGGAGACCGTCGTCGCGAGGGTGAACTGGGTGAGATCAGCGCGGAGAATGTTGCTCACGTGCAGAGCCAGTACGGCTGGGGAGTCGGTTGCCTCCACATGTTCATCAGGTGCGGCATAAATTCGACGCCAACCTCCCGCCACGCGCCAAAGAACTTGGGCTCTCATGTGATGGCCCACCGAGCCGCCAAGGCGTCGGGAAGGTCCAGCATGCAAGTGGTGACGGCCTCCTTAAACGTCTGGCTCCAGACGTTGATGTGGTCATGAGCCTCCCTGCCGAGGTGAGCCGTGGTACCGACGGCCAAGAGTTCGATGGCGAGGGCGTCCCCGTCCTCGAACCACTTCCTTGACGGAAGTGGACCTGCAACTCGGGCAAGTCCGAGGCACTATCATGCGTCGTGCGCCTCCGGGTCGAAATCGACGCACCACAGGAGAGAGAGCAGCGGATTCACTGTCGTTGCCTGGCGTAGCGCGCCAGGTGAGGGTGGGATGAAGTCGTGTCCAGTAGCCCGGCGCACCGCCAGAACGTCGAAAGAGGCGAGCGCCGCGTCCTCAACGAGCTTGACGTGCGTCTCCCGCAATTGGGAGTCAGGGTCAAACGTCACCCAGAGCTGCGGCAGCCGAGGTGGAGGGCGCGGTAATCCCAGAGACGGCCAATCGGCAGAGATAGGTTCGCGATATCCTGCATGAGTCCTGCCTGTGAAGCCTCTGCGTCCAAACCCGCGTCAACGTCGGTTTCCTGCTGTGCTGGCCGATCAGCGAGGCTGCTGTCCGCCGTGCCGCAGATGGTGATGGCGTCGATACTGCTGCGAGCGTCGGGACGGGAGCCAGTGCTGGCGTAGGAGACGGCGTTGACGATGACGATTATGATTACGATGATGATGATGATGATGATGATGATGATGATGATGATGATGATGATGATGATGATGATGATGATGATGATGATGATGATGATGATGATGATGATGATGATGATGATGATGATGATGATGGTGACGGTGATGATGATGCTGATGATGCTGATGATGCTGATGATGCTGATGATGATGATGATGATGATGATGATTACGATGATGATGATGATGATGATGATGATGATGATGACGATGATGATGATGCTGATGATGCTGATGATGCTGATGATGCTGATGATGATGATGATGATGATGATGATGATGATGATGATGATGATGATGACGTCGCTACCGGAGTCGGTGCAGGCGTCGGTGCATGCGCCGATGCTGCTTGCTTCGGTGCCCGAGTGGGTGCTGGCGTCGATGTTTGCGTCGATGCTTGCATCGATATCCAGCTGGTCGTCAAAGGTCGGCGGGGCACGGCTCCCAGACAGTGGTCGGCTCGCAAGGGCAGGAATCGGAAACACCTCGGTTCACCCACTCTCGCGAACCAGAGCGGATTGCGTACCAGGAGCCGCGCGGGAGGCGCGCGAAGACCGCGCGGAAAGCTGCGGGCAACTTGAGCCAACGAGCACCCCAGAGAAAATGACAAGTAGTACACATATAGAGAGAGCATTCTAGGCATTGCTGACAGGGGCTACATACGGGAGACCATGGAGGAGACCAGAAAGGGAGCCAAACGGGAGACTACAAAAGAGACCATAAGGCAGACCAGAAAGGAAACAATACGGCAGACCACAATGGAGACCACACGGGAGAGCGTACGGGACACCATGAGGGGTACCATACGGAATAATGTGAGCGAGACCACACGGGAGACCGTACGGGAGAAAAGACGGGATACCACGTATGGGAGACCAGAATTACGGGAAATCACACGGGATACCTCAAAAAAAATCCGCCGACCCTGTCGGCGTGTGTGAGGAGCTTTTCCGTTCGAGACGTCATCCCCGTTGTTCGTTGGTCGTCGTCTCTGTCGTCCCCCTTCCTTGCGCCTCCCTTTCCGTGGGCCCGTCGCCACTCCCGTCCTCTTTCCCAGCAGGGGCCCCTGCTCAAGCGCGCCAGCCCAAATGAACTTCAGCAACGTCGCATTTGAGTCGAAGGGAAGCCCCTTCCCTTTGATCCCTCCCCCGCCGGGAGGGGGGGGGGGGGTAGCGGGGGGGTCCCGGGGGGGGGGCGCCACTCAGATACGACGCCCCCCCCGCGCCCAAGATGCCTCCAAGATGGCCCCAGAGGCTCCCCAAACGGCTCCAACAGGGTGCCCAGACGGGGGGCCCGACGAGCCCTCGGCGACAGAGGCTCCCAGGAAGCCCCAAGATGCCCCCAAGAGGCCACCGCGAGACCCCCAAGAGGCCCCCAGGAAGCCCCAAGAGGCCCCCCCCGCCACATACGAGAACGCATGGGTCGCCCTCCAGGGTCGGCGGCACCGGCCGTAAGGCCTTCGCAATAAGGGAGACCATACGGGAGACCGTGCGGGAGACCATACGGGAGTCCATGCGGGAGAACTTGCGGGAGACCGGATGGGAGATGGAAAGACACGGGAAACTACGAGCCACCGATTCCAGATCTGGAAAGGCTCACACCTCAGCATTTAAAAAAAAACATGAGACCAGAAAGGAAAAGCCTTGTTGGGGGAAAACATACTGGGCTCGCAAGGCTTCAACATCTAGCTGAATCGCCACCCGCCCCCCCCCCTCCGAAGAGCAAATCACTTGGTCAGCGGCCGCGAGGGATCGAGCAGCGCTCGGGCGACGGAGGGATGCACCGAGGCTGATTGTGGCACGAAAGGCTGGGGAAGGCGCGCGCGGGGCGCGGGGAGGGGGGCCCGAGCAGGGCCCTGAGAGAAGCCTCGAAAAGAAGCACCTCAGCATAAGAAGACATTACGCGTGCACGCCGTCGCGAACCGTGTGAACTCCGTTATCGAAGTAACGCATCGAAGTAACGCCTCAAGGAACAGAGGGACAGGCCGAGGCGATCGTGTTGGTCGCATTGCCGTCTAGCACAGAGCATCTCTGCGAGCTATACCTCAAGGTCCATCGCATCAATGATGCACCAACAGAGATGCACGCGAGAATGAATGTTCGACGCCTGGCATCGCCATAGGAGGCTGGCGCGAAGAACTCAAGGAGCCATGGCCCCAGATCAAACCGAAATCGGGGCTGCGTCCCCCCCACCCCGCACACAACAACGACAACAGCGCCCCCAGAGTAAGGGCGAACTCTGCCGAACCGCATACCAATCGTCGATCTCAACTGGCAGCTGCCATACCTCCTCCTGGCTTGGTCGATGAGCGCTGCGATCTCGGCAGCCCGAAGCGAGGACTGGATTTTGACAAAGACCTGCTCCCCGAGAGATGCGAAAATCCCACGCGAAACGCGCGGACCACCCGACCGACACGTCCAGCCGTGGGACGGCAAATTGTTAATAAGGAGGAACGACGAAGGAGGAGGAGGAGGAGGAGGAGGAGGGGGAGGAGGCTCTTTGTTGACCACTTGCTTACACATAGGAGGAGACTGCACGACGCCATAAGAAAAGACGATAATTCACGAGGCGAGACATGAGTAGCCTGAGCCAGGCGATCTGGAGCCCGCTCGACATCTCAACATCCTGAGATACTAGGCCCCCAGGCCAACGGCCCTCGCCCCTCCGTCCATCAAACTCGCCGGCCCTTGGAGCTCCACAGACTCGCTCCACGGGACAAGCCTTTCATTCTGAGTCGTTCCCTCACAGTCCCAGGCCCCGAACGAACACCCAAAACTCCGAGAGTAACGAAGAAAACCATGCGATTTCTTCGAGTCGCCACATCTGGGGAGGCCCCTGGCGGACTCCGGGTTGCTCTGAAAGTCCCCAAGAGTCTGCACAGGGTCTCCGCAGGTCTCCGAAGTCCTCGGAGGTCCCCCTGAGGCCACTGGAGGCCACTTAAAGCTCAAAATCTTCACGAATGACTCAGGAATCGACACAGATCTTCATCCTAAATCCTCCAGGAGGAGGGGGAGGAGGAGGAGCAGGAGGAGGAGGAGGAGGAAGTGGGACAGATGAAGACGAAGAAGATGAAGAAGAATCTGAAGAAAAGAAGAAAGGAAGAAGAGGATGGGGAGGAATAGAAGGAGAAGGAGGAGCGTCAGTGCTCCTTGTCGTCGCGCGGCCACAAGCGTTCCAAGCGCTCTGCCCCGTGGCACTCCAAGACCCGCGCTCGGCTCCCGCTGCTCAGACGTCCGCGATGGTGACCTCGACCTCCGGCCCGGGGGGGCTTGGCCCCTCCATTCCCTCCTCCTCCTCCTCCGCCTCCGGACCGACGGCGGCGCAATCAGCAATATGCCTAGTAATGTCCGCATTGGGAAGATTCATTTTCGCAGACATGGGCTTATGATGATATTGTTCATGTAGCTCTTTACGTATACGTCTGGTACTGGTCATGTTGAGCCTCGGAGTTGGGGCCATTCTTGCCGACATGGTGAAGTGGGCTCCGTTGAGCGGTATGCGTACGTAACAATAGGATGTGTGCAGTAAGTGCCGGCCGGCCGAGGGGTGGAGGCCGGGCGGGACGCGCGCGCGAGCCCTCTTCCTGACTGGTGCGCAAAAGGCTGCGCAGAAGTACGCACGTCCAAAAAATAACAGGCTCTTCTGATGAGTGGGCGCCGCAAAACCTCTGTTGGAGAGGATAGGCGGCGCAGCACAAAAGGGGGCGAGGGGAACGTTAGTGATGAATCGATCGCTTTGGGCATGGGTGACGGCGCAGCCTTCCAACGCTCTGCGCTGACCCCCAAGAGCGGCCATTAATCGGTGCCCTGCCACCAGGAAACAGCCATCAGGTGGGGATGGGGCGCGCCGGACGGGGCCTATAGCCAAATTACCCAGGATCGCGGCGGCCAACAGGAGGATTACGTAGCCCTCCTCCTTCTCCTCCTCCTCCTGCTTTTCCTCCTCCTTCTCCTCCTCCTCCTCCTCCTCCTCCTCCTCGTCATCCTGCTGTTCCTCCTCCACCTCCTCCTCCGCCTCCTCCTCATCATCCTACTACTCCTACTCCTCATCATCAGCAGCAACAGCATCAGCATCAGCATCATAAACAACAACCATCACATCATTATGATCATCCGTGTGAGCATTGTCAACAACAACATCCACAACAACATAGTCATCATCACTATCATCGTAATTGTGACCATCGTCATCATCATCGTACTCATCACCATCATCATAATCATCATCATCCTCACCATCAACATCAACATCATCATGGTCGTCGTCGTCATCGTCATCAACATCACCATCAGTATCATCATCATCATCATCATCAGCATCATCATCATCATCATCATCATCATCAGCAGCATCAGCCTCAGCATCAGCATAAGCATAAGCATCATCTTCACCATTAGCATAATTGTCATCAGCATCATCATAATCATCATCACCACCACCATCATCAGCAGCAACAGCAGCATCTTCATCATGATCATCAGTATCATCCTCATCATCATCGTCAGCATCATCATCATCATCAGCAGCATCATCATCGTCGTCGTCATAATCATCGTCGTCGTCGTCGTCCTCGTCGTCGTTGTCGTCGGCGTCGATGACATCCTCATCCTCATCATCATCCTCATTATACTCCTCCTCATCATCAGCATCGTCATCTTTATCGTCATAGTCGTCATCATCATCACCATCATGAGCATCATCATCACCATCAGCAGCATCATCAGAACTATCATCCCGGTCCACCTCAGATCCTCATCATCCTCATCATCTTCTACTTCACCATCATCATCATCATCATCATCATCATCATCATCATCATCATCATCATCATCATCATCATCATCATCATCATCATATCATCATCAGCAGCAGCAGCATCAGCATCATCATCATCAGCAGCAGCAGCGTCATCATCACCCGCAGCATCATCAGCATCAGCATCAGCATGATCAGCATCATCATCATCATCATCATCAGCATCATCATCATCATCATCATCATCATCATCATCATCATCATCATCATCATCATCATCATCATCATCATCATCATCATCATCATCATCATCATCATCATCATCATCATCATCATCATCATCATCTTCATCTTCATCTTCATCTTCATCATCATCATCAGTGTCAGTATCAGTAGCATTACCAGCATCATGATCACAATCATCAGCATGCCTGTTCTCTGCCTCCTTGGGGGGGCTCGGGGACACGGCTGGAAGTAGCGGTCTTGACCCGTGGTTGATAGGGACGGTCCATTCTGGCCCTCTGGGAATATCCAGAGACCTCCCCCTTTCCCCCCTCCTCCCCCCCCCACTCCTCCCTCCCATCCTCCACCTCCCCCCCCTACTCCTCCTACTCCCCCTCCTCATGCCCCCCCTCCTCCTTCCTCCATCGTCCCTCCTCCTCCTCAAAAATCCTCCCCCTCCTCCTCGCCCTTATCCTGCCTGGCCCACTCCTCATTCGGGTAGGGACAAGCATCCTTGTGGGAGTGCCCCGCTGCCCATCTATACCGACGGGATTGCCAGATGGGATCACAGGACCAGGAAACCACACACCTGAACGCAAGCGTTCGAATGCTTGAGCCCCAGGCACCTCCAGAGACCGACAGAGGACGAGGAGGAGGAGGAAAGGGGAATGACCAGAGATTGATCCGCACCCGGTTTCACTGCGCCAGGCCCCCTCTGCGCCACCCCTCACCTGGCGCGTGAATCTCGCCGAGGAGGGTGCGGCGCCGAAGGCATCGCCGAATAATGGCGGGGAGGGGGCCCGGCGCCGACAGAGAAGCCGCGCGCGGACGTCCATAAGCTTACGTCCAGATCACTGTATCGTTCTCTACTTGGTGGAAGCGCTGCCTACCCATACCGAGGAGGGGCAACCAGATAGAAGCTGGAACCCTGACCGAACCCTGGAGCCAACGCCAGGGCAGCTGTCACTGTCGGACACAGGGGCAGCACCACAGGAACTTGCGACTACCCAGACTGCGACTGTTTAGGTTGCCACTGCGCCCTCCTTCTCTCTCTCTCTCTCTGAAGCTGCTGGGAGGATAGGATGGCACACCGAAATTCCACGGATGGGCCGGTACAGCGACACACGCTCCTGGAAGCCTCTCCTGGAACATCGCCTCCAGGCCCGCGCGCGCCCGTTGCCCGACGCCGCTTGGCCCTGGTCCGAGGGCCCTGGCACTGCACCCTCCAGTCGGCCGCCGAGCGGATGTTGCACTTCCTTTACACGCGGGCACGCACGTAGCCTTCGCAGCACCTGCCGGCCAGGTCCCGGGCCATCCTGGGATCGATGGACCTGGCGTGGGGCCGCGCCGAACTGAGACAGTCCAGCCGTGACGCGACTGCCCGTGGCCGTTTCCCCAGGGACTCGGAAAGGCAAGCCTTCCGAAGCCCTGGAGCGGCACCTCCACCCAGCGCGGGACTCTCACCCGCACAGAGCGACAATGCCTGCCCCCAGGACGGCCGAAAGGCGCAGAGCGAATACTGTGCGTTCCAACCCCCTGGTGGGCGCCCCATACCCTGACAGTCACTCGGCCCCCCACGACTGACCAGCCCAGTGACATCGTGCAAACCCCTCGGATGACCCAGAAGGTGACGCCCTAGGGGTTCGCCGCCGCCTGCCGCAGGGCCGCGCGCACGCACCCCGAGCAGCGAGGGAACTCCGCAGGCAACGCACCATCCACCATGAAGGCCACTTTCTCCAGCTCTTCTCGGGAATGGCACTGCCAGGAGCCGCACGCGGCGGCAGGCCCAGCCTTGAGGAAGTGCACCCGCCACTGCTGTGCGTGCACGACCACGGCCCAGCCAGCGGATCGCGCCGCCGCATCGGCCTCCCCGCCCTCCTGCGGCTCTGGGGCCGACGGTGGGCCTGGCGGGGACTGGCGAACGCCACGGCTTGGGCGTCGTGGCCGGTGTTGGGATGCACCCAGCCGCAGCTACGTCCCAGCCGCCCTGGATAGCCTCGGCGAGGCGGTCCTTGGCCATGATCTTCACAACGTCGGCGCGGCGTCGTAATGCTCGGGCACTCGCCCAGACGGGCCCCAGTGACTCACTGCGCACTGCTGCTCGTGCCTCTGCTCGAGCTGCCTGGTAGCGGTCGCGTAGAAATGCCGCCACGAGTACGGGGTGAAGGCTAGCGCCCGCCCTGAGGCGAGGGACAACGGCGGCAGCTGCAGAAGGACCCGCTGCATGTTCGCAAAATCCCCGTACGCCGCCGGCTCGGGTTTGAAGCCAGAGAGGCTGGCGCGCGGGGCCCAGATGGCGAAATCCGCACCAGGGATGCCCCAGGATTGCATGACCTCCATAGATCTGCCGCCCCAGTCGCGCCCAGGGAAACCCGTGCGGAGGGCCGCCCACGGCACGCGACGGCGCTTGCCTTTCATGCGCCACGTCCTTCCCACGACTGCGTCTTTCGTCAAGGCCACGTTCTCGGCGCGCACCAAGTCCGCCGCCCTCAGGACCCCGTGCGCGAGGATGTCCATGCAGCCGGCCAGCATAAGCGGCCAGCAGGTTCGACGGCGCGTCGAAGACCAGGGCCTCCACGTGAATGACATGGTCCTTCGGCGCCGTCTCAGCTGGAACGGGCGGCGGCGGCGGCAAGGCAGCTGCAGCGGGGCGCGCCTGCGCTAAGGCCAACGGCGCCCCCGCTTGCGATTCCACGCCAGTGGACCGCTCCAGCCAAGCGAGTGCGGGACGCGCGGTCTTGGCACTCGACGCGCCGCGGCGGCGCTTGTCCCAGACGTACTCCGCGACGGCGTCCACCACGGAGGCAATCGCGTCCTGGCCGAGCGCGGCGCAGAATCCCAGGCAGCGCTCTGCTTCGCGGCGCAAACAGCGCAGCGTGCGCGGCGCCTCGAGGTCCCCCTTGAACAGGTCCCTTTTGCATGGCTAGCACCGTGGCCGAAGGCACTGTGGAGCCGTCGCCATAGAGGGCCTGGAACCGGCCTGTGACGGGCCCCGGCGCGAAGAGCAGGGCCATGCTCTCGTCCAGCTCCGCGGCCATCAGCTTCGCGTCTTGCGCCTGCACAGAAACCTCCGCGGCCCTGAGTCCAGGCGGGGCCACCCGCTTTGGGGCGCCGCGCGCCATCTGGAGGCGTGCGCGCGCTGCGGCACCCGCCCGCACAGACGGCGCCGGGCGAGATGATGATCCCAGCTCGGGCGTCGGCAAAGCCACCGCCTGCTCGGCAGGAACGGCATTGGCCCGAAGGGCCTGCGCAGCACGGAGACTGGCCAGGCCGCGGGCGCCGTCAGCCATAGCAGCAGCCGCCCGTGCAAGAAGAGACGCCGTTCCAGGAGGTGACCCCACTGGGGCGAGAGCGTCAGATGAATCTTTCGACAGGACGCCGGCCACCCACAGGAAGCCAAGGTCCGATGGGTCGACGACGCTCTCCTCCATCACCCAGCGCTCGACGAATTCAATCGCTCCCATTTCCCCCTCCTCGGCCACTTCTCGCAAGATCGTGCCAAAAAAGGACGCCATCTTTGTGCTCAGCCGTCCTGCCTGCTTGAGCCTGCCACCCCTCAGCGGAGACAGCGAAAGGCTTGAGCAGAGACGCTACGGACGCGCCGCTGCCCCAGATTCCACTCCCACGCTCCCATGCCCACTGTGCCCACATGCGCGGACCGCAGAAGTCATGAAGGACAGCTGGTCGAAAGTGCTCCTCTAACTGAGAGCCGGGGAAGCCCTGAACAACCCACGAGACGCTCCAGGATCCGAAACGCGAACAAAACGGCCAAGGGTCAGCCGATGCTGATCGCTCTGGTTGGCCTCTGGGGATATGTCCGATTGCCTTCATACGCATCACTTGCACTGAAGGGATTACTAGCCAAACAGTGCTTGGATCGGTCTGCCGCGCTACCGCCTGGTGGACGCCCCTGGGCAATTCGTGGGTGCCTTGTGTGGGTGGCTCTACCAGGGTTGCGCCAAGTGGGCGCCCGTGGGCGCTTCGCGGGCGCCTCGTGAGCTGGACGGCGTTGCCGAATGCGGGCGTAGATTGCCCCACTTCGCTTGCACCCGCATAGACTGCAAATGACAGCATGCACAGCATACCTTGCATCGCGTTGACTGAGCGCTAAATTGCACCACTGCACCGTATGGATTGCACTACGTACATTGCAAAACATTGATACGTAGATGGTATCGCTGAGACTGCACCGTATATGTTGCAACAGACAGATTGCAACATGCACAGGCTGCACCGCACATGTAGCATATCAAGAGTGCAGGAACCCACTTGGGGAGTTCACGCTGGCAAACACTAGTTCTGCTGTACAGAAAGATTCCGCTGCGAGACTGTCACAGGCTCTGGTGCTGCCCTCTGCCGCCCCCAATCTCGTCACACGTGCTCGCCACCATGGCTGTCGCACGTCGCTCTGCTTTGGGTCCACGCTATCACCGTCGTCATCATCATTATTAACCGCATTTTCACCGTCGTCATCCTCAACGCCAACAACCAGCATCACCACCGTCGTCGTCACTGTCGGCGTCATCATAATCGTCATCGTCACCATCAGCACCGCCCGCGGAGCCTCCACGCCAGGCTCGATGGAGATGGAGGTGATCTGCTTGACCACGTCCGAGGGGGAGTGCAGGTCGATGAGGCGCTTGTGGATGCGCATCTCCCAGCGGTCGAACGTGTTGGTTCCCTCGCCGCAGGGCGACTTCCTCACGCACAGGCGCAGGGTGCGCGTGGGGAGCCGCACGGGCCCAGCGACGTGGAGCTCCTTCTCCTTTCGGGTGCGCCGAAGACGCGGGGGGGGGACAGGGAGGAGCGGGGGGGGGTCGTCGCATGATGGCCCGAGGCATGTGCGCGGACGGGATGTGCGCCGAGAGGAGAAGAGGTGGCCCGTATAAATCTGACAGATCCCATGGCACCAGCCATGACATCCACACACACAGACACACACACACACAGTCCTCGGACGCACCCGATCCTTCGCACCGGCGATCAGGTCCTTGCACACCTTCTCGAGCGACTTCACGTTGCGGCTCGTGAGCGTGATGCGGATGCGGTGCAGCCGCTGCTCCTCCGCCTCGAGGGACTTCACCTTCGTCTCCATTGGCCAATCCGGTGCGGCCTTCTGCTGCTCCCAGCTGTCGGCTCGAGCCAAAAACCTGTGTTCGGCGGCCGGAGCCGTATGGGCAGAGAAAGTCACTCCGGGTAGGGGCTGGGGGAAGGAGTCGGGGGAGGAGGAGGAGGAGAGGGAGGAGGAGGAGGAGGAGGAGGAGGAGGAGGAGGAGGAGGATAAATAGGAGGTGGAGGAGAACCCGTGTAAACCCAAGACGCATCAACGATGTTGCAATAAACCCTCCCTCCAAGTTGCCACTTCACATGTCCCAATAAAAAACCTCTGTTCAATGCGGGAAATATACCATTGAAAGACAGCCATCTGAGAGCCCTGAGCCTTGCCGAAACACTGTTCCTGGAACTTCAACGCCACGGATCAACATCGCTGCTGTGTCCTGGCAGCCCTAGACCGTGCCAGAACACAATTGATGGAACTTCGACACCGCGAACCAACGTGACTGTTGCGTCCTGACATTACTAAATCGTGCCAGACCACAACTCCTGGGACTGCGACCCTACGAGCTCGAAGCCCCCGCCGACCCACCCAGCACCGCCCGCCACAGGATGACGGCGCCAGCCCTCCGAAAAGAAGGCCAGCCCCCCAAGCTCGAGCAAGGCGCGCGGGCAGCAGACCCGCTTGCACGGCCAGCAGGGGGCGGAACAGGAGAAGACAACGGAAGCAGCAGCGGGCGCGAGAACATCGGACCCCCTTCCCGTGCACGCCCCAGCAAGGGTGGCCGGACAGCAAGAGCGAGGGACAGGGGCGAGACGGCACAGCAGGGAAAGGCATGGCAGCGGTACCCAGGGCACGGCACGACACGGACCCCGAGCACGGCACGGCGCAGAAGCACGGCAACGACAGCCCGGGCACGGCACCCCAAAGACAGGCAGAAGGGGCAAGGCACCACAGACCGACTCAACCCAGCACAACACGGCACCCACACGGCACACCCCCAGGACGGAAGCAGGGGGTGTGGCACAACGCACAGCGCACGGCAAGCAAGGCCAAGCGAATCAAACACCGGGACGACGACGAACCAACAGCGGCGACGGCGGCAGCAGCCGCGGCGGCAGCTCCTCCTCGTGAGTCACTCCTGCGTCTCCTCTGCCTCCTCACTCCTCCTCCTCATCCTCTTTCTCGGTTCGCTGCCACTGCCCTCTCATCGCACGGGCGCTGAATGCAGCTTGCTGCCACGGGTCGTTTTTCTCGCACCCAGCGTTGATCCCAGCGGTGTAGCTGGTGACGTCTGCTTTCGGTCCAGGCTCCCGCCTCTCGCCCGTTAGTGCCTCGGCTCTGGCGACAGAGACGCGACGGAGACTCGGAAACAACCGCAGCTCAGCACATATCAAAAATTCCATATCCACGAGACGTGTGGCCTGGGCGCACGAGACAAGACAGAACTGAAGGCTCAGCCTCAACTGACTCACCACTCTACAAGAGGGGGGGAGGGGGAAGAGCGGGCGAGAACCAGTGCACACCACGCCAGGACCAGAGCAGCTGGACAAAGGATGAGAGAAAATGCGGGGACGAGACGGCCGCGAGACGAGGGAGCAACAGGACAGACGAGCAGACACGGTGGGAAGGGCGCGCAAAAACGGCGGAGCGGCATAGAACCCATCGCTCATTTTGCCATCGCAAACAAGCCCCCGTCGGCCCTGGCCACGACGGTGCCAGCACTCGCCATGCACCCCCCCGCCCATGCACCAGTCAGGGGGCCTAAGCCGGGCGCGCCACTGACGGCACCGCCCTGCAAACAGGCCAGGGCCAGAGCTGCGCAGCAACAGGCCAGTCTTGGCCAGGAGCACAGCCGCGGCAACAAAATGCACATGCTAAGAGAAACTGGAAATCCAGGGCAGGAGAGGAGGGACTAAAAAAAGAGGCCCGACGCACAGACGAGGTTGAACAAGAAAAGAAGCACGCCACACACCTACGTCACGCGTGCCACACCCCACAACGGGGCAGCGTAATCCCACCAGCCCTTTGGGCGTAGGTGGTCTAGAGCGTTTCCTCTGTTACCCCTCCTACTTCCCCTTCAGGGAGGGTTTTATCACTGTCCCCTATCAATTTACACCCCCTTCCACAGGCGACTGGGAGCCAACCCAGGTCCTGCGGGCACCCCCCCACTATCCCTTGTAAAAAACAATACACCATCCCTTGCAAAGATTCTTTATGTATACAAGAAAACACACACACACACACACACACACACACACACACACACTCACACTCACACTCACACTCACACTCTCACACACTCACACACTCTCACACACTCTCTCTCTCTCACACACACACACACACACACACACTCTGTCTCCAAATTCGGAGCATGCGCAGCGAACCCGTTGCGGCCTCCCCCCACCATCCCTTTCAACAAACAATACAGGGTACATTTGGCAGCGGCGGCGGCTGCGGCGGGGGCACTGGCTGCGGCGGCTGTGGCGGTGGCGGCGGCGGGGGCTGCGGCGGCGGGCGTGGCGGCGGCGTCGGCGGCGGCGGCAGCACAACACCTGGGACCGATGCTCTACATTCCTTGAAAGCGATTCCAAGTGAATAGAGACAGCGATCCCACTGGGATCGTTTCTCTAGACCCCTGGGAATCCATTCCCATGGTTTGCCTTCCTGCGCGCGTTCAGTGGCCGCCCTTGGTGGGCGCCCACTAAGGGCGCCCTTAGTGGGCGCCCCTAGTCGGCGCCCTTAGTGGGCGCCCTTAGTGGGCGCCCTTAGTGCGCGCCCCTAGTCGGCGCCCTTAGTGGGCGCCCTTAGTAGGCGCCCCTAGTGCGCGCCCTTAGTGGGCGCCCTTAGTGGGCGCCCTTAGTGGGCGCCCTTAGTGCGCGCCCTTAGTGGGCGCCCTTAGTGGGCGCCCTGCGTGGGCGCCCTTCGTCGACTCCTGGGGCGCCCTTACCGGGCGCCCTTCGTCGATTCCGTGGGCGTCCCTAGTGGGCTCCATAAGCAGGCGCCCTTAGTGGGCGCCCTTCGTCGATTCCGTGGGCGTCCCTAGTGGGCTCCTTCAGCAGGCGCCCTTAGTGGGCGCCCTTCGTCGATTCCGCGGGCGCCCCTAGTGGGCTCCTTCAGCAGGCGCCTTCACTGAGCGCCTACGTGGGCGCCTTGCCCTACTGTACGTGGGCGCCTTCAGTGAGCGCCCTCAGTGGGCGCCCGCAGTGGGCGCCTCCAGCAAGCGCCTTACGTGAGCACCCTACGTGAGCGCCCTACGTGGGCGCCCTAAGTGGGCGCCTTCAGCGGGCGCCCTAGCAGGCCCCCACGGAATTCAAATGAAATTGTGAATTCATTCGAAACCGATGTTCTTGTTGGGATTCCGTGGAGATCCGTTGACTTTTTAAACTCTTCGGAATTCCACGGGGTTCCAATGCAATTCCGCGGGGTACGTGGGCGGGCGCGAAAACGGGCGGGAACGCGGCAGCGGCAGTCGCTCTGTGGGAAGGGGGAACTATTGCCTTTCAATCGTGCGTTTCAAAGTGTTCCCCCCTTTCCGCGGGGTGCGTGGGCGGGCGTGGGAACGGGCGCAGACACGGTGGCAGCAATGACGCGTTCCTTTTTCGCGGGGTGCGCGGGCGGGCGCGGGAACGGGCGCGGACACGGTGACTGTAATGGCGCGCTTGGGAAAAGACAAACGATCGTGTTTCATAGGTTGCTATGGTTTTATCCCGTTTTCGGGGGGTGCGCGGGCGGGCGCAAGAACGGGCGCGGACACGGTAGCGGTAATGACGCGCTTGGGAGGAGGAAACTACAGCCTTTCATTGACGTTTGGGACTTGACTTTCTTCTCGCGGGATGCGCGGGCGGGAGCCGGAACGGGCGCGAACGCGGCAGCGGCAATTGCGCGTTCGGGAGGGGGAAACTTGTGTTATTCATTGATTTCTTTGGTTCTAATTTGTTCGCGGGGCGCGCGGGCGGGCGCGGGAACGGGCGAGGACGCGGTCGCATTCCACGGGAATTGCCCGAACAACATATTTTTCGGACTCCCTTCGCACCCCCTGGGAATCGAGTCGCAGGGCTTTCAAAAACAATCCCGCTAACGATTCCAGGCAATTTCTGCGTATTCGACACCCATGACAATTCGAAACCCAGAATTTGGAGTGTTCCGAAAAGCACCCTTGGGATCACCTTCGGAATCCCTGAGAATCGATTCCCAGGGATTGCACAAGCGATCCCGGGACCATTGTCGAATAACCCCTATCTTTTCGACACCCCAAGAAACTTGAAAAGGCCAGAATTTGGGATGTTAGGAAAAAACCTTGGGAGCGCCTTCGGAATCCCTGGGAAGCGATTCCCAGGAATTCCAAAAGCGATCCCAGGATCATTTTCGGAATCCCTGGGAAGCGATTCCCAGGGATTCCAAAAGCGATCCTGGGATCACTTTCGGAATCCCTGGGAAACGATTCACAGGGATTCTGGAGGTTGGAGCGCCTGGGGGGGCGCGTGTCTTCCCCGCCTACCGCCTCTGGGGGCGGGGCCACCTTCGGCGCTGATCACCGAGGGGCATTTCGACAGTTTGAAATGCCGCACGAGCGAGCGAACGAGCATCATTGTCACTGAACGGGATGGCACGGGCTTTGCTCTCTTGGCGAGCCAGCCGATAGAGCTGAAAATAAAACGCGGTGAATTTGAACGTCTCGGGGGTGGGATGGATCAGGCCCAGAGCCAGGAGGGGGTCCAAAAACGGGGGCGCGGGGAGGTCAGCTCTTAATTGCCTACGGGCAAGCCGATACATCGGGTCGCACCAACAGAAGTAATGCTTCGGCGAGTCGCGAGCCCCAGGACATCCCCAGACGCAACGCCTATACGAGTTGCGCATCCTGGACTCGGTGATCCAGCCCCCACCCCCACGTCTTGATGCAAGCACTGCGCCCGGACGGCGGAATGCGCTGCATCACCGCAGCGACGGCAGACCAGTCAATCGCACCAGCGTCGGCAGCGTGGACCCCAAACCAGCGTCGGAGGCGCTCTTGCAGACGGAGATGGAGGCGCGGGAGCCGAGGATCGGAGCGAAGGTACGAACGGAGGAGGGAGGAGTAGAGGAGAGACTGT